TGGTCACTATCACTATCACAACTATCATTATTATTATTATTTTTATCAGTTTTTTCTATCATTATCATTATTGTTTTTTTCTATCATTATCATTATTATTTTTGTTGTGTTTGTTATTATTATTGTTGTTGTTGTTATATTCACTAATATTATCAATACAATTATTATTGCAATCATTATCATTATCATTATTATTTTTCATCATAATCATTATTATTTTTGTTATTATTATCTTTACTGATATCATTATCATTATCATCATCATTATTATTAGTATTACTATTAACTATTATTACCATTGTCATTATTATTACTTATACTTTCATCATTGCTACTTTTAAAATGATATAGTAATGCTAATAGTAATTATTATCATTATCATTATTTCTACTTTTATCATTATAGTTCTATCAATATCAATATTATTATTTTCATTATCATTATTATTATCATCATCATTATTTTTGTTATTATTATCAAAATTATATTTTTTTCATCGTCATTATTATCATTATTAGTTTATTATTGTTATCTTTATCGTCATCATCATCATCATCATTACTTTTTTATCTTTATCATTTTCATCATTGCTGTTGTTGTTGTTTTTGTTGTTACTATTATTTTCATTATTATTGTTGTCGCTGTTATTATTATCCTCATCACTATCATCATCATCACTATGACTATAATAATAATGGTTATTATTATTATCATTTTTATGATAATGATAATAATATGATCATTATGGTTATAATCATTATAATAAGTATGATAACTATCAGTATTTTCATCATTCTTATTCTATTATTATTATGATGACTATTATCATTGTCATCATTGCTGTTATTAGTATTACCATTATTATAATCATGATTATAATTATTGTTGGTGTTATTATTGCGAGGTATTCTATGCTCTGTGGCCATTATTATTATATGTATGTGGGCTCGCCGTGGCTAGATGCCGTGTAGTGGTAGTGTGAAGCATGTAGGCACACTAAAAAAAATCGAACATAATTATTAACTCCTTCACGCTTAGCCTATGGGTTTCGTTGGTGTAAACTAGTTTTTTTTTTTCTTTTAGTTTTTACTCATAGTGATCGTAGAGGCAAAGGAGTAAGTGAATGTATATTGAAATCATAAAAAAAAACACGAAAACCTCATTTAAAGTCACTTTCTTGACGAGTCTTCAACGTGAAGACAAGAGACAAAGTTGAAGATTACTAATCACTTGATTAATTACTCAGGTTAATAAACTAGTTAAGGTGAAACTTATATAAAATTCGGTCTAAGTATGTAAAACAATCACTAAAATAAAAAGTAACGTCCAGCTCCTCAGAAAAACAAATGTCAGTACACAGAACTTAACTCCTTGTCTCGGGGGGGGCGTGGCCGACTCGCAACGTTCGAGCTCCACACAGGAGGTAGTGACACTGAGTATAATTCGCGCCGTTTTTTGGCGATATTTACCGCTTTCGTGACGTCATAAACTACGTCACGAACCATACATCTTTCGAATTTAATTAACACCCGAGTTCACCTTCCAGGTTAAAAACATAGATTAAAAAAAAGTCCGGACAATAAAATATCGAACGAAAATTAAAAATAAAAGCAAAAGATGACTAGCGTAACTATTAAACCGAAAAAAAGAAAACGACCCTAAAAAAGGGAAACACAACTAAAACTGTAAAATAACAATAGACCGGAGCAAAAGGCTAAACAAAACAGACTCCCCCCAAATAAGAGAAAAAAAAGAAAAAAAGAAAAAAAAAAAAAGAGCTGGAGCGAGTGAGCGAAGTCCGGGCGCCGCCGAAAGACGAAATGAATGGCAAAGAGACACTACCTTGAGGAGGACTGAGATGCCACCTTACATTATCATTATTATTATTATTATCATTATCATTATTCTTTTTGTCACTATTGTTATTATTGCTATTATTATTGTTATTATTATCATTAATATCATTATCATTGTCACTATTGTTATTATTATCATTAATCATTATATTGTCACGCTATTATTATTGTTATTATTATCATTAATATCATTATCATTGTCACTATTGTTATTATTGCTATTATTATTGTTATCATTAATATCATTATCATGGTCACTATTGTTATTATTGCTATTATTATTGTTATTATTATCATTAATATCATTATCATTGTATATTATTTTATTATTATCATTATCATTAATATCATTATCATTGTCACTATTGTTATTATTGCTATTATTATTGTTATCATTATCATTAATATCATTATCACTATTATTATTGTTATTATTATCATTAATATCATTATCATTATTATTATTATAATCATTATTATTATCATCATTATCATTATTATTATTATTATTATTATTAATCATTATTATTATTGTTATAATTATCATTATTATTATTATTACAATTATCATTATCATCATCACTATTATTATTATCACTACTAAAATTATTAGTATCGCCATTGTGATTCTTATGATTATGATTATCATTTAACTATCGTTCTTATTGTAATTTCCATTAATGATATAATCACTGTTGCTATTGTTATCATCATTATCATTTTCATGATTCTTATTATCAATAGAATGTTAATAATGATAATAGTGTTATTATCATCACCAACATTATCATGATTATCATTAAGATAATGACTATCATCATAATTATTACTTTTGCTATCGTTATCATGATTATTAGTACTTTTGTTATTTTTGTTTTATCGTTATCATCGTCATTATCGGTATTATTGTTATTGCTATTTTTATCATTAGTGTCATTATTATCTTTATTGTTATCTTTTCCATTATCGTTATCATTTTCATTGTTATAGTATTTTCATTATAATTACTATTACTAGTATTGTTATTATTATTGACGTTATTTGTATTATTATCATTATTCCCATTATCATTATTACTATTATTATTACTGTTATCATTTTAATTATCATCATAAATATCATTATCTTCATTATCATCTTTGCTATCGCTAGTATTTTAATCGTCTTCATTATCATAATCATTCTTGTTATTAATAATATTATCATCATTATTATGATTGTCATTATTACAATCATCATTTTTATTATTACTTTTATCCTCAGTATTGGTATCATCAATTATATTCAAAATAATCACATTATTATTCATAAACATCACTATCACATCACTATCTTAATTACAGCCGGTATTATTGTTATTATCAGCATTAGAATTATCATTACTATGATGGTTATTTTCATTTTCATTACTATTACTAATGTTATTATCATCATCATCATTACTGTTATCATTATCATTAATTGATTTGAAATGGTGTAATAATTGACGCGATGATATTAAAAAAAGGACAAACACACATACACACGCGCGCGCGCATCCATTATGTTACGCATCAATCAGATTCCTATATCAATTCTGTTATCGCCATTATTTTTATGATTATTGTTTATTATCATAATTTTCATCTATTATTTTACTTGCTGCTGTTCTTCTTATTATTATTATTACTATCACTTACTATTATGATCATTATCATCATTATCAAACACCTAGAATTATGGTATAGATTATTACATTATTATTATTCTGCTTGCGGTTTGCCCTATTCACAATATAAGAGCGAGGCAAGTACACTACACTGAAGTAGTTAGACCGTCAGTTCATGCACATTTATAAGACTTTCCGAACGGGGAGTTTGAGAAGGAAGGCTAGAGGGGAAGGGGAAAGAAAAGGGAGAAGGCGGGGAGGGATGAAAGAGAGTCGAAGGGGGCTTAAGGAGGAAAGGGAGATGAGAGAGAGAGAGAGAAAGAGAAAGAGATGGGGGGATTTAAAGAGGAAGGGGGGGGGGTAGGTGAGGGGAAAGGGAGATGGGGAAAGAGAGAGAGAGAGAGGGGGGAGGGGATTAAGAGGAAGGGGGGCGGAATTTAGAGAATGGGATTTAAAGAGGAAGGGGGGGGGTAGGTGAGATGGGGAAGAGAGAGAGAGAATGGGAGGAGGGGATTTAAAGAGGAAGGGGGGGGGGTAGGTGATGGGAAAGGGAGATGGGGAAGAGAGAGAGAATGGGGGTGGGGAGGAGAAGATTTAAAGAGGAAGGGCGGGCAAGTGAGGGGAAAGGAGAGGGGTTAGAGAGAAAAGGGGATGGGGGAAGGGGGGGAAAGGGGTAAGGGGGAAAGGGTAAGGGGCAAAGGAGGTGGGGGAACTTAAAAGGGGGAGGGAGATCGGAGGAGAGAGATTGAGGTCTTAAGAAGGATATCTTTGGGAGATTATGGCGTGAGAGGGGATAACAGAGTGGGGAAAGGGAAAGGGAGAGAGAAAGGAAGAAGGAGAGAGGAGGCGAGAGGGAGAAGGAGGAGGATGTAAGAGGGAGAGAGGAAGGGAGAAAGAACCTTTTTCGTTCCGTGGGATTTCCACGGGGCAAGTTATCATCATTACAGTGACAGTAATTACTGTTATCATTATAAGGATTAATCTTATCATAAGTGTTATATATATTTTTATCATAAGAGGTATGATAATTATAAACATGATAATGATAATGATGATAATAATAATTACCATGTCTATTACTATCAGAGAGAGAGAGAGAGAGAGAGAGAGAGAGAGAGAGAGAGAGAGAGAGAGAGAGAGAGAGAGAGAGAGAAGAGAGAGAGAGAGAGAGAGAGAGAGAGAGAAGGGCAGTGAAGGGATATGGTAGAATAGATAAGTAGACAAAGAAAATGGAAAGATACAGAAAAGGGATAACTCAACAGATAAGGAGTAAAAGGACACAGATGAACAGGCAGATAGAGAGAGAAAGAGAGAGATAGAGAGAAAGGCAGAAAAAAATGTCACAGATCACGATCAATTCATTAATCAAACATTGAATGAAAGCGCAGAAAGAAAATATCTAAAAGGAAAAGGAGGAGAAACAAATTGAGAGACATCGTGGCAGAGGTGACGAAGAGGGAAAGAAAGAATTCTTAGTTTTGTAACCTGAGGAGGAT